CACTTCCTTCTATCAGTTTTCTCTAGATTTTTCATACAAGTAATAAAAAATAAAAGATGGAGCTGGAGAGACTGCACAGAGGTTGAGTGCACACCACCCTTGCAGAGGACTGAAGTACATTTTTTAGCACCCAAACCAGCCAGCTCACTACAATCTGCTACTTCTGGCACCAGGGGAATCTAATACCACAAGCCTCCAAGAGCACTGCACTCACACAGATACACAAAAATATACATAATTAAAAGTAAAATAAATCTATAAATAAAAAGTTAAGCCTAGAGAAATTTGTTTCTGTGCCATGGTATTCTGTTTCGAAAAACAGGGTACCACTAGAAAAACTCCCCAAAGTAGAGCCCAGCAAGGTACATATAAATCAAGTAACAGAATCAAACCAGGTGCTTCACAATGAAGCTGTTGTCACCATTTCTTAGCCTCAAATCACAAAGAATTAATAAATTTAGGAACTTAGTATTATTTTTAAAAATTACTTAGGTACCTTGTGTCCTGGTTAAGATTATCTTTCTTTAGCAATATTCCCAAAAGATTTAATATAATTGAGAAATGTTTCTTTGTGGCGGTAGTTACAGTACTAATCACGGCACCATCAAATAAGGAAGGGGATGAAGAGCTAAGACTACTGGATATGAAGTGATCATGCCTGAAAGACAAAGTGGAGACCATCTTTTCAGCTGTCATCAAATGAAGACAACAAACTCAAGAAACAAAACATTTCCTGGTTTTTCTTCTGAGGACCTGTGAGCACAGTACCTGGTACAATGAGAATACAGGGTGTAGAGCACTGCATACTGAATGGCAGGGAAGTGAACAGCCAGGTCACTATGCACAATCATCAGATTCTTACTCAGCAGTGCAAACACAGTTGGAGACAGTGCCCACATCTGCCAAGGTAAAAACAAAGGGTATTTATGGCTCCCCCAAGACACACACAAGCATACACAATCTACCTTCGGGGTCAAGTGGTGCTTAGACACTGAAAACCTAAAATGTAATCTGAAACTTGGAAATTATCTAGTACACAAATCTTGGGTCTTCAGGAAACAATCTCTCAAATTATGCTGAATGGCCTCTGCTTAATCTAGCAATTCCTCAACTATGTACTGTCATGAGGCATCAGCCTTAACAAGGGGTAACTGCTGCTCCCTTTACAAAAGGAGTCCATAGAAAAGTATACCTCAATCAAGATATTTAAAACAAAAGCAAGAAACAGGTGCACAACTAAATTTGCTGAGTCTCTTTGGTTTAAGCAAAGCCCTTGGTACTCTTTGATACAGTAGCCTACATTTCCTTAATTTCTAGCATATTAAAATGGCAAAGTATCTTGTTCAATAACAGAGCCAGCAATCCTGCCTCTCGGAGCCTTTGCCACTCATTCCTTTTCCTCTAAGACACAATGCTCCATCTGACAACCTGACTCACCCATTGCTTTTTCAGACTGCCAAATCACTGAACATAAGCCTTCTCCAATCTATATAGGACATAGTTCCTCAAAAATAAAACTTAGTTGTATTAAGAAGGGAGTTTTCCCCAGGCTCCATATGTAAGGAGAAAGTGGCAGAGGAAGGGGCATGTATGGGACAGTGTGGTGCTTTGAGCATACAAGCTAGAGAAAGCAAGCACAAGCATCAAGTCTTCTCAGAAAACATTCTCTTTTAATACAGAACATTTCTCTCTTCTAAAATTATTGTTTCTGTATGGTCCAATAGAAGGAAAAAATATATAAACTAGGTGCAGTAATGATAAAATCAAAAGGAGGTAGACAGATATGTTAGCATGTGACTAATTCTAGTACTTGGAAGGCAAAGGCAGGCAGATCTCTTTAGGACTTAAATCAGCCAGCTAACTCAAAAAAGGTGGGGGGGAGTAGATAAAAGTGGTGTCACTCCAAATTTACTACTACATCATTTTATTTTTTGTGATTGTGGGGTTGAATCCAGGATAAGCACTCTGCCACTTAGTTACATACACAACCTTCTCCCTCTCCCACACACCCGGTATGTTTCTGTATATGTAGATGTTTTCATTAGAACATTTTCATACATGTACATAATGTATTTTTGATTACATTCACCCCTCTTCCATTACCCTACAATCCCCCCCACTCCCTCTGATCCCATTTTTTTCTCAAACTTTCTCAACTTTGTCTTTATTTCTTAAGATCCAACAAATTTATTAGTATTGTTTATAGGAACATGAGCACCTTACCAGAGGACACACACAAAAAAGTCTCTCTCTCCCCCACTAACTATTAATTTGGTAATAAAAATTCCCAGGAAGAGTAAAGAAATTTTCATTTTTTGACAGTGTCTCACTGTGTGAACTAATAAATAGCTGCATGCTGGTCTAGAATTTGCAATCTTCCTGTCTACACCCTCTAGGTGCTCAGACTGTAAGCGTGTAATTATTTTTATTATTTTTTTAATATGGTGAGTGTGCATGCATGGGATGCTAGATTTTAAATTATAGGCTGCTCACAGACAAGGGTGCTGGGAACCAAACTTGGGTTCTCCACAAGAGTGATACTTGTTCTCATTAGCTGAGCCATCTCTCCAGCCCCCCTTTTTTTTTCAAGTTAGAAAAAAGTGGTCTTTCTTCTTCCAAAAACAGAAAAAGAAAATATGAGCCCAGGCTGAGAAAATGGCTCAGTGGGTAAAATGCATGCCATGAAAGCACAAGGACATGAGTTCAGATCACCATAACTCACATACAGTATACACTCCTATACATATGTAATCTCAGCCCAAGAGACAGACATACAGATACCCGGAGCTATAAAACAAACTCTAAAAGGAATTAATTCCCAGGAAATTTATGGAAAAAAATCATGAAGCTAAGACAAGAGAGAAAGAGACTAAGACTCTAGCTGAATCAGTGATGCCCAGGTTCAATGAGAGACCCTATTTCAAGCAATAAGATGGAGAGCAATTAAAGAAGGTCCTAAATATTGAACTCTGCACCCACCCCATAAATATGTAAGGTTTATGAAGACATGGTGATACATGGCTATAATTCTCATAATCTGTCTCATATAAATCTCTATAATCTGGTCCACATAGACTCTACTCAAAAGCAAGAAGAAAACAAAATAGGAAAAGGGTGGAGAAGGCTTAACCATGGATAAATAGTCTTTATAGCCAGGAACAGGGGGGTGGAGTGGGGGGGTGGGGGGTAATATGCCAGTAAACCCAGTGAGTACTCAGGAGGCCAAAGCAAATTCAAGGCCCACTTGAGCCACACAGCAGAACCCTGTTTCAAAACCAGAAATAACACAAAATGCAAAGTCTTTACTATTAAAGACTCACCCCAATTAATGAGTTTTTGGCATTTCCAATTGTAGTCAGGGCACTGAGATCAAATATAACTACAAAGTTGGCATTGTCAACATTGAACACATGATTCTGAAAAGCCTCATGTTTAATCTCAGAACAGGCGTCAGGGAGCTGGAGACTGTGTAGCAGATTGTTTAGTGCACAAGTCATTTCTCCCAAAATTAATTTATAGGCAGTTTCCAGAACAGGAATATTCTTCAAGCTTAGCACTGCTTGATAAACAGCATGGGCCACAGCAACAACCTACAAAGGAAAAATTTCAGGGAAGTGGTTAAAAATCACCATATGCAGCATGTTAGGGAGATAACCATGCAAGACTTAGAAACTCAGTCCATAATACCCAAAAGCTTCATTTTATAAGACCAACCTTAAGGAACATATGTATTAGTGGACTTTTCACAAAGCTCTATGGACTTATTATAAATAAAAAATGCTCTAAAACCTGATATGAAAAATTTCTCAAGAACTGCAGGGTATTTTGTTGTTGTTGTTGTTTACACGCAATACTTCTGAATTTATACCTTTAGAAATAAATTTGCCTCTTGCCTTTATAGAAATTTACCAAAATCAATTTAATAAATTATGGGTACTCTGAAAAGGCTAATAGATACCTCATTCATGAAGGTACTAGTATGATAATAAGTATTAACCTAAAGCTGTCACTGTAATCCCTTCATATTCAATATCAAGTATCGTTTCATACTGAAATAATCTGTTAAGCAAAAGAAGTCCCACTTCTTGTTATCCATGTAATACTTACCTCTTTTTCTTTATGGTATCGTAAAAATAGCAGTTTAGATGATGGTATGAAAAGTTTTTCTACAAACGAAGATGGTAATTTTGTATTTATCTGCTCAACAATCTAAAAGAACAAAATTTTAAAATAAGCTTACTGAAGTTACAAAAATGCAAGGAAAAACCTTTAAAAAGTCAATATAAAAGGACTACATAGTTGGCAATTCTTAAAAAAGGCAAAAAAAAAAAAAAAAAAAAAAATGGAGACAGTAAAAGCCCCAGGAGTTCTTTAAAATACTAAAATTGGTTAGTGTCAGGAGGAGGCAATCAACAGCCTGCATGAACCAGATAGGACATGCATTTCTAATTACAGGAGCTAAGTACTAAGTATAAAAACTCATTATTCCATTATACTTTAAAGGGAGCAGTTATATATGACTAATAAATTAAAGGAGAATAAATTAAGTTTTTCTAAGAAACAAAATATAAGTAGGTTTTTGAAAGTAGTCAAATACCTTCTCCCATATAGCAATTAGGTACACTAGTGAGTCTCCAGTAAAGGGGGACAGGTCAGCAACACAAGGTCAGAGAAGTAAGACTAAAGTGAGCTACCAAACACTAAAGGCAGTTTTAATATTAGAAAAAAAATCATACTGGACTAGAAAAATGAGTTATCAATGGAATTTTATAAAGATAAAAGTAAACCATTTTTTAAAACACACAAAGCAAAGCTTTTTAATTTCTTCCACATCAATTCAAAGACCTACATAAACCTACAAATACAGGGGCTGGAGAGATAGTTCAGCAGTTAAGAGCACTGGATGCTTTTCCAGTCCTGAGTTCAATTCCCAGCACCTACATGGTGGCTCACAACCATCTATAGGTATCTGATGCCCTCATCTGGCATAAAGGTGTACATGCAGATAGAGCACTCATATGTAAAATAAATATATAAATCTTTAAAAATTAAAATAAAAAATAAACCTACATATACAACAATTAAAAACAAAAGGAGTAATTCACATACCAATGTGAGCAAATTCAAGACTGAGATGATATAATCGGTACCACAAGTCTGGCAATTCTCCAGTTGGTCTAATCCATATGTAATGACCATGTCACAATGTATAGTCATGCTAGGATCCAAGCTGCCGAGCAAAACACCAACACACTCATTAGCAGCTGTCAACACAGCCTCAGAAAAAAACACTTGGTTTGCAGCCGTCACGCATCTCATTACTCTGTATAGAACCTGCAAATGGGGAAAACAAGCACCTTTTTAAAACACAAGCTTCTCCATACCACTATTTGCTATTTAATGCAGCTTCAAGTCAAAATTAGTCTTGTTAACAGTCTTGTTTTTTGTTTTTTTGTTTTGTTTTGTTTTGTTTTTTTGACTGAAATGGGGCAAAGGCTAACCCACATGGCTTTACTGAAGTGCACCTCCATAGAGTTCACAGTTGATTCTCTAATTCTTGGTAGCTAGTAAGAGCATCAAATATTTTGGCTAAAAGTATTCCAAATTACAATCTTGACAAGAAATGGAATTTGTCCCCTTGAGTTCACTTATATTCTTCCCCTATTCCTAGATATTATCAAATGGCTAAAGCTTAGTATCTTTTATAACTATGAACACACACCACAATTTAGCACACTTAGGAATGTCCTACTCACATTTGCTTAAACAGAGATCTTGGATTTTTTTTTATTTGGTTGGTCATTTTGTTTTTGGTTTTTTTGAGACAGCGTTCCTCTGTGTAACAGTCTTGGCTGTCTTGGAACTCACTTTGTAGACCAGCTGGCCTTAAACTCAGATCTGCCTGCATTCTACCTCCCAAACTGGGATTAAAGAAATGCACCACCACCACCCAGCTAATTCTTGGATTTTTAACAATCTTTTCAAAATAAATACTAGGGTTGTTTTAAGCTAATATTAAAGTTTGTGTACCAATGACCATAATAGCCAAGTATTCTACCACTGAGTCCTGGAAGTTCTTTCTCAAGGTAAGAATTCCTGATGTGCACATCCTATTAAGAACCATAAAAACCAGATAATTTCCAACATACATACATGCACAGAAATCATTAACTACATAACAATATTTACATACTAAATTTCAAATAAATAATAAATTTTTGTTTTGTTTTTTTGTTTTTTTGAGACAGTGTTTTTCTGTAGCTTTTGAGCCTGTCCTGAACTATTTTTCTGGACCAGGCTGGCCTTGAACTCAGTGATCTGCCTGCCTCTGCCTCCTGAATGCTGGGATTAAAGACATGTGCCACCACCACCTGGCATTAAGTAAATGAAAAATTTCATGCTAGAAAGTATCACAGATCTCTAACAGTCAATCAGTAATACCCAGTGGACTGTCTTTAAAATTTGTAAGTTTCATTAATGCTATTCACAAAAGCCAAAATTGAAGGCATTCATAACATATTTAAAATATAACTATTCTGAGAAAGCTTATGTTCCTTTCCTTTTGTTTTGCATGTGACTTAACTGTCTTTACTTCACTCTTCAATCAACAACCTTCTAAGTAATAAAAAGGGAAGAAAGAAATTAAGCCATTTTGAAGATTTCAATTATCAACATGAAGGCTTAGTTTTATGTATAATCTGACACTTCTGCTCTAATACACACCTACCTTTCCAAGACAATAATTTATCCAAAGTTATGCTCCTAAAAGGCCAGCACTGCTCCTAAGCAGTAGCATACTTCAGTCATGTAGCCTGTCTTCCCTGGCTGCCTCATATGCATCTCCTTCCTCACTCCAGAGCAGTGCTCAGGACTCATTTCTCTCTGCTAAACTATATTATACCATGCCTTAACCACTCAAGTGTGGTAATCTGGCCACTTCTCATACCTGGCTTCAGGCTGATATTTTAAAATAGTATTTACATCAAAGAATATACAAATATGATTCTAGGGTTTCACCTTGTCATGTCCAAAGAAAATGACCACTTTATATTCACTGCAGTAATATGGCTAGCATTCAGGGTTTCCATGCAAGGCAAAGGCTCTATTAAAAACTGCACAATCAACCAAAGAAAATTATTTCTGATGCTTTCTCTATGGTGTATTATTCTTACTATGTTGAAAACTAAAAGGAGGCTCAATTTTTAAAGAAAAATTAACATTATTTTTAACGTTTTTATTTATTTTTTTGAGACAAGGATTCTCTGTGTATTTTTAAAGTTTCAAAATTATATATTAAAAATAGTAAGTGCAGGTTGAGGAAAAAATTTGGTGCTTTATGAAGTGCAAGTAAGAATAAAGCCTACGCAAGGCACGAGGTTCAACCCCAGTACCAAAGAAAAATAAATACATGGATCTGTGAAGGAACTTCTTAGAGAAATGTCAAGGCTGTGTAAGAATTCAGAGTGGCCCTTTCTTGGTGGAGTGAGTAATGATGGTGGTTGATAAGCAAACTTCCCTACTTTTCTGAGTAAGGAAGTAACCAGACACAAACATATTTAACATGAAAGGTTAGTTCACTGGGTACAGGAGGCCCTCACAATACAAACTTACATCTGTGACATATGCCTCGGTAATCGGTGGACCCCGAATTGGGCTGAAGCGCTCCCCAATGCTCCTCACAACAGTACTGAACACTCGTAGAAGTGCTGCCAGCTTTGGTAATGACACTGATGGAGGAGGAACATCTTCATCTACTGACTCCCCAGAGGCCACATGGCTGAGGTCCTAGAGGTAAATCACAACATTCTTATTGAAATAGTAGTACACTGAGAGGTGTGCTTTGGCTTTATTGCTATAAGCTAGTAACCAGTAATCCAGCCCAAGCCCTTGCATATACTAGGAAAGAACTCTGCAATGAGCTACATTCCAGCCCCTATTTCTTTATAGATCTCCTTCCTATACCCCAAAAACTTTATTTTGAGATAGAGTCCACTATGTTACCAAGATTTCTGGGCTCCATCAATACTCGGAGCTCAGCCTCTGGAGTAGCAGAGGCTTATCCCAGTAAGTTTCTCAATTCTTTCTTTCTTTCTTTCTTCCTTCTTTTGTTTCTTAGTTTCCCAATTCTTTAAGTCATTTAACTTTAGCAGGTTTTTGTTTGTGGGTTTTGTTTTGGTCTTTTCCTTTTTCTCTTTTAAAACAGTATCTCCTACTGGCCTGGAACTCAATATGTAGACCAAGCTAGCCTCCAACACAGAGAAATCTGTCTAATTGTGCCTGGAATTAAAGGCGTGTTCAACCGAACCTAGCCCTAGAAAAGACTACCAATTACGAGAAATTTTAGTTCAAAATTTAGTTCAAGGGAGGAAATGTAGGACTCCATATGCCTAAAGTTCTCTAAATCACTCCAAACAAAACCAGGTAAATTATGGAAATTATTTACAGTAGATGCTAGAAAAAAAAAAAAAACCCACAAATTCTTATGCATATATTATACAGCTGTATTAGTATAAAAGGTACACCAAAGTTGTGGCATTCCTAAATTTGTTTTCTACTAAATCTCATTCCATATAATTTTTGATCAACAAATTAAAATATATTATTAGCATGCACTCCAAAGGAAAGGGGTTAGAAATTTGGAGACCTACTCTACAGAATTAAAGACTAATTTAAAGTTTAAGATATACCAAATTAAGTACCCCCCCCCAAAAAAAAAAGACAGAAAGAAAAGTAGTATTAAAAATGCCTAAAGGACAGGGTTTCTCTGTAGATTTGATGACTGTCCTGGAACTCTCTTTGAAGACCATGCTGGCCTTGAACTCACAGAGATCCACCAACTTCTGCCTCCTGAGTGCCAGAGTTAAAGGCATGCACCACCAACGCCCGGCGAAAATGGGTAGAATTTAGAAAGACTGATCTCTATAGATAAGGGAGATTCTGTATGTCCCGAGGGACAAAAGAAAAATATGGAAACATAATATTCTATTATTTTATCTTGAAGAAAGCAAAACAAACATACCAGTGATGAAAGTGGTAAACCTCTTACTGACTAGAAGTAGCAAAAAACTAAAGCAAATGCGGTATGTGGGACAGCCATGGTACTCCCATGGATGACCAGGAGCAAGGGCAAAGGCTGCAGGAAGCACATGAAAGTCACCACATTCACACACAGCTGCACCAGTGGAGTTAAGCCAAGGCTTGTCCTCCAAAGCATGATATGAGAGCCTCTGAATAACTTAGGGCAGCATCTTTAGGGGTATTTTTCATTTCTAAACTAACAATCTGCCCTTTGGTAATAAAAAAATGGGGGGAGACTGATAGCAGAAAAATACCTGCTATCAAGAACATTTAAGCTTTGCATAATATTAAGACATATACACTGGGCATTGGTGGTGCACGCCTTTAATCCCAGCACTAGAGAGGCAGAGGCAGGTGGATCTCTGTGAGTTCGAGACCAGCCTGGTCTACAAGAGCTAGTTCCAGGACATCCTCCAAAGCCACAGAGAAACCCTGTCTCGAAAAAACCAAATGACATATACATGTATATGGGTGTGTGTGTGTGTGCGTGCGTGTGCCTGTGTCTGTATTGTGTTTGCATATAAAAACTCTGGTTGCTTAAAAATAGCAAAAATAAAATAAAAAACTAATGTCAATGATGTTATAATTTCTGCTTAAACGTCAGTCTTAATTATTTTAAACTAAATCGAATTCTGTTTATAATCTTTAAGAATAACCTGGCTTTCTACAACTTACCTCAGCATATGCCTCCATGTCTTCAAGAAATTGACCAAGAAGAGTGGTAGAAAATGCAAGGTCAGCTACCCAAAATGGCTCCAAACTCTGCAACCACCCTTGACATCATGGAAGAAATTTTCAAGAGAAAGAAATAAAAAAAAGGGGGGGGGGCATGGAAGAGTTTACCAAAAGTAAAAAATTGATTCCTGCTTTCAAGCTATCTATTCTTAAAACATGCCATGTATCTTAACATTAGAACTGCCACTAAAAAGCATGCTGGTAATTAATCAAGCCTCTTTTAATGTTACAGAAATCAACATCCTTCAGGAATCAGTATGTAAATCTTGTATTATTTTTTATCTGATTTAATATCCACAATGTCACCCCCCACACACACACACACATGACTTAAAAATGCCACCATGTACTATCAACCTAGCTTTAAATCCCAGGGTCATGACTAGTTGCCAAGGGTATGCAACTGGCTTCACAGCAGAAATGATACTATCCATTCTAACTGGCATACTCTTGTCAAAAGTTATTACACCAGATTTAGAGAAGAGAGGAAACTATACCATGTGAAATAAGCAGGTGTGTGCAAATGAGTTGAATTATCATTTGTTCTCTGTCATAGATGACAATCTTCCACTTACGTCAGGCACGTTTAAAATGACCATAAAAGCAACAATAGAAACAACAAATAGGGACTGGAGGGAGAGCTTAGCAGTGAAGAGCACTCTTCCAGAGGACCCAGGTTTAATTCCCAGCACACACACGGCAATTCACAACTATCTTTAACTTCAGTTCCACAGGACCCAACACCCATGTGCGCGCGCACACACACAGAGAGAGAGAGAGAGAGAGAGAGAGAGAGAGAGAGAGAGAGAGAGAGAGAGAGAGGGAGCAGAATCTTCAATTTTAGGTTTCTGGGTATTCCAACCTCTTGACTTTCTTGCTAAGCATATAACAGATACAGTCTTTAAATTCTCAGAGGGTGCAACACTGTAATCTAGATTTCTCCTACCCTACTATTTACTACATAATTTTGCTTTGAAAAGATCAACAGAGCTACTAAGTGACACTTATAACAGCTAATATATCTTCTTGAAGCAACCCTTTTTGCTAGATCAGACCCACACTTCTTTGCACAGAATTTACAGGACTGACACAAGCTAAGACTTACCAGACACCTGCTGTGTGAGGGAGGGTTTCTGAGTATGATCTATGTGCCATCCAACTAATATATCAACTGTATCCTTGAAGACAAAAAGAGGAGGCCAGTCATTTTAAGGTTTCACTGATATGTCATCAGTGCGATCACATCACATTAAAAGACCCTAGAAAAAGCTGTTCAATCCTCCTGACACTGGAATTGAGGGGCAACACGTATTAATGTCAGGGGAAAAACGGAGTTGTTACTTTTTATTTTAAAAAACTGACATTTTCATGATCACTACTGTTGTGATATTACTGCATCAGACAACCCCTTTCCTCCAAAAGATCACTGGTTATATTCACATGGTCAGAAGTTTCTTTACTATTTGATGCCCTACTTCTTCACAAAACTATCACACCATCAGAGAAAGGTGCGATGGCAGTAAGAAACTTACCCTAAAATTGGTGCTGAAAATATGAGGGTAGCATCGAGCCACCAAAAGAATGCACTTAACACATTTGCAAAGTAATTCTGGTGTATCCACATTTTCAAGAATGGATTGTAGGCTGGTCATCACGAGCTGAAAAGCAAGTTACAATCATAAACATTTGACAATAAACAGTTTCACTTCACAACTGATTATGAGACCAAAGAAAAATTTTTTCAATAATGTATAAAATACAAAACTAGAGAACACAAAACACTACTTTATGTAAATATTTCAAGTTCAGTGTTTTCAAAAGAAACAAGTTCTATTGCATTAATTTTTTGAAAAAGCATTCATTATGTTAGGCTAAAAACCAATACTGCTCTCTATTCTATTGTCTATTAACATTATTCCTTTTTTATCAATTAACTTTAGTGGTGAGTAACACCTCTGTATCTTATTCATAGTAATGCTGTGTCTGTAACTGAATTTAAAAGTACAAAAATAAGATGCACGTAACCGGGAGGCAGAGGCAGGCGGATCTCTGTGAGTTCAAGGCCAGCCTGGTCTCCAGAGCGAGTTCCAGGACAGCCATGGTAGTTGCACAGAGAAACCCTGACTTGCAAAACTAAAAAGATGCACGTAAACAGACGTGGTGGCACATGCCTTTAATCCCAGCAACCAAAGAAGCAGAGGAAGGTGAACCTCTGATAGTTCAGCCTAGTCTGGTCCACACAGAAAGTTTGAGGCTGGCCAGGGATACACATAACTCTACTTCACCAACACATCCTCAAAAAAGTAAGATATACTTGGGAAACTCATTTCCTTAAATGCCTCAATTAAAGCTAGGAACCGTGGCACAGGCCTGTAACCCCAGCACTTGGGAGGCTAAAGAAGAATAAATAGACCAGAAAAGACTGAGTTACAAAGTAAAGCCTTTTCTTAAAACAAAGAATAAAAAAAAAACAAAATTTGTTTTCAAAGTAAATCTTAGGCAACTAATATGCTTTAAAAGCAAAATTTATGCATCTTGTTTCTAATCAAAATGATCTGGAGAGAGTTAATTAGGATGGGGCCCCTACAGATAACATTCAGGCTTCTTTCGACTGAGTATATATAATGAAAATAGACTTATCACTTACACAGCTGCTAAAAACCACTTTCCCCAGTCAGAAAAAGCTCTTTTTTACATGTACATATATGCATATACATGGATGTAATGAAGGGGAGTAATACAGGGCTGGAGAGATGGGTCAGCAGCTAAGAATACTTGCTGTTCTTGAAGAGTACCTGGGTTCATTTCTCAACACCCACAGAAGAGCTCAAAACTATCTGTAACTCTAGTTCCAGGGGAACTAATGGCCTTTCTATACCCTGTACCACACAAGCACATGGTTACGCATACAATAGTCATAAAACATAATATAAATGAATCTTTTTAAAAGATTTAAAAGCTAGAATTTTAAAGTCACCATTTTGCAGTAGCCAATGGTACCATCTAGATGCTTAAAATAACTAAGTGAAACATTACTAAAACAACAGAACATCCAAAGATCAAGACATTAGACCCAGACTGCTCATTTAAAAGGAAAAAAGCTTCGTAATAAGATCTGATGATCATTCCATCAACCAGTGGTCACTCTTCAAGTCCAATAGAGGGATAACCTGCTGTCAGGTGCCTGTAATGAACTCATTAAGTATTCATACTCAAAAATGTTTAAACTGATTCTAATCAGGAAGGTACAGTCATTAAAAAAAAAAAAAAAGGTGGGGGGAACACATATAATAATATAAGGAATGGATGTGGAAAACTATCATTGTATGAAAATTTAAAAAGCACAATACCAAAGGCAATACTTGAGTCTTGAATGGGATCCTGGCTCAAAGAAACCATAGATATACATAGTAACTTAATGGCAATTACAGACACTTGAACATAGTTTGTAAGGCAATAAAATGCTTTTCTTAAGTATATAATATTGCTGCTATAGAAGAGAAATAGGCTTATTCTTCAGCAATATATACTGATATACTAATAGAGTGAATTGTCAAATGTATTTAATTTATCTTCAAATACTTCCACAAAAAGTGTTCATGTGAAAATAAAGCAAGTGTCAGGCATGGGGAGATGGCTCAGCTGGTAAAGTGCCTGTCATATAAGCATTAAGACCTTGGTTCAATCACTAGCACCCCGTAAAGGCCAAATGTGGCACATGTCTAATTCAAGCACTATGAGAGGAGGAGAAACTGCAGACAGGCAGGTTACTGAGGTTTACTAATAGCCAGTGAGAGACCCTGTCTCAATAAACTAAGGAGGAGAGCAATAGAAGAAACCACTGACCTCTGGCCTCCAGACACATGCATACCATACATACTTCGACTATCAAAAAAAGATAAAAAAAACCTCTAAGCCATATATAGTAGTACACCCTTGTACTTTCAGCATTTGGGAAGCTGACTCAGGGAGGATCATCATGAGTTTCAGGGCCAATTAGGGCTACAGGGTGAGACCCTGCCTTAAAAACCAAAAAGTAGGACTGGACAAATGGCTCAAAGGTTAGAAGCACTGGCTGCTCTTCCATAGATCCTGAGTTCAATTCCTAGCAACCACATGGTGGCTCACAACGATCTATAATGAAATCCAGTGCCCTCTTCTGGTGTGCAGGTATGCATGCAGGCAGAACACTGTATACATAATAAATGGTTTTTTTAAAAAAAGCAGGAAAACTGCACATATTTTAAAAAGTAAATAAGGGTACTTCCAGAGGTCCTGAGTTCAATTCCTAGCAACCACATGGTGGCTCCCAACCATCTGTAATGTGGTCTGGTGCCCTTTTCTGGATTGCAGGGATACATACAGATAGAAAACTGTATACATAATAAATAAATAAATTAATTAATCTTTAAAAAGTAAATAAAACATAAAAATTAGGCAGGGGCTGGAGGTACCTCAGCAGCAGCAACATTCCTAATATACCTGCAGGGATACATACAGATAGAAAACTGTATACATAATAAATAAATTAATTAATTAATCTTTAAAAAGTAAATAAAACATAAAAATGTTATTAGGCAGGGGCTGGAGGTACCTCAGCAGCAGCAACATTCCTAATATACACAAGGCCTGGGATCTTATCAAACTGATCTATATATCTTCCTGTGGATTTGGAATCTTTCAAACTACAGTTATGAAATGCTTATATAAAAATTATGTGTAAAATAGGAGCAATTTGCTGCTATACTGTTTATTTACAAGTAATTATCAGAAACTTTCCCAAAATTTCTACAGTCAAGGAAGAACATATAGGGATATTTCATACACATATATGTATTTTTTTAATTATTCAAAATGAAGCAGTTTGTGAGTTGTAAATTGGCAAACAAAGCCAGGCACAGTAACACACACCTTTAGTCCCAGCACTCAAAAGGCAGGTAAGTGGATCTCTGAGTTCCATGCCAGCCAGGGCTACATAGTAAGACTCTGCCTCTCAAAAATAAAGACATCAGATATTCCAGGCGCCAACTTATTTTTTTCAAACACTCCCTCAACAAAAACATTAAATGTTACTCAGATTAAACTGGAAAGTCAGATACAGCATATAGTCCTGGCACTCAAGGGGCTAAGGAAGAATAGATGAGACACTGGATAACAGTTTGTGCTAAACAGTAAGACCCTATCTCAAAAAGCTCTAACCAAAAGAAACCCTTTTGGGAATGAGTTTTTCCATGTATATAGACATTCACAAGTAAAGCAGAACTAAATAATAGCTGAAGTACATTCATAAATTGGTGTTTCCATTATTTAGATTAATAATTTTTGGCATCAAACCTAAAACTCAGGGAAGTGAAAGAGAGAGGAGAGGAAAAAATATTCAGAAATTAATTGTGATATTTAGCATTTGTCTCAAAAACTGTAAGGGACCCTCCAGTACAACTCTTTGAGTAAAGAGTTCCTATTTTTTGACTTTATCTGCAAGTCACTCTATGAAACAGCTTCAAAGAGAAGCTTCTAAAAAAAATGAAAAGACAAAATGTTTGAAATTAAATTACTTTAAAACTAGCTTTACTCAAACTCAAAATGCATTTCATTTGCACAGTGCTGTGTCCAACAGTAGGCAGGTAAGCCCTGTCCTCCACTTGGTCCTCTACCTCACTCCACTCCATTATGGGTCCCTGGCTCTCACCTGCATCACCGAGGAAAAGGCTTTCTTCTCCCCAACAGTCTCCAGAGCTCTGTAGGTGGCGCACAGGTAGAGCAACTTCACTTCATCTTTAGCAGATGAGCTAAATTTGCTAAAAATCCACTTGAAGATCTTCTCAGCCTCATAGCTCAGAGAAGCACAAAGAAGTCCAAGACAGCAAGCTCCCTCCTGCCTCAACTCCTGAAGCAACTTGCTACTGTGTTTATTTTAATGCAAACCAAACAAAAAACAAACAAAAGGCATTAGTTTTCAAGGAGCAAAAGTGTAACACTTCTTACAAAAGAATGTCTCCCATGTATTAAAGGATTTCTAAATGACTTTTCAAAGCTCAAACTAAATTAAAAGGTGGAATTTTATCCATTCTGTATCTGTATCCTCTATATTCTATAATGTTCATAAGTCCCTTTATCAGACACTGGATTTCTTTACAAAAGTATTTACTGAAAAACACTAAAAAACTAAGAAGTGCTAAAATCCAGGTTTCAAGTTCTACTTCTAACTGGATCATAGAAAGAGGTGGCAAGAAATTAATAGGAAATGCAATGCATTTCTAATAACATCTAACATGTAACGACTGTGATGTAGGAAATGTTTAGTAGCTAAACCACACAAACTTAAAAGGGATAACAGCCAGAACTAAGAATAACATTCAGAAATTATGTAAAATACAACCATCGGTGACCTGCTAATTCCAATACTGCAATCCTTTGGAATCGCTGAACAAATCTGAGAAGCCTAGAGATGATTTAAAGAATGAGGTTCACCCTTTTGTCTGCTCTCTAAGCATTTCTAAAACTCCCAGAAACATAACTTTCATGCATGCTAGCTAGCCTCAGCTCATGTTTTTCTTCAAGCCAATGCTTAGGAAAGAAGAGGATTCTCTTCCAAGTAGATTCCATTTGTGTTCAACAAAAATTAATAATAAATAACAGGTTAAGAATAGTATGAAGATTTAGACATGTTTATAAACAAGGTCCAGGATACATCATTTATAGTTTAATAGTTTCTATAATTACCTTCAAAGTCACCTAAATGTGACCATTATTAGTTTACTTACCTTTCATTAAGCACATCATGCACTGCAGCCAAGATATTATCCAACTGTTTAACTAGTACCTTAAAAAAAATTATAAAAACTTCAGATTCCTACTTAAAAATAGCATTGTATACTTGATCTTTCCATTCAGATTATGATTATACAGCATCTCAGTTTACTTGTTATTGCCAATGCTAATCACATGAGGATGACATGTTTCCCTTCAAGCTATAAAAGACTTATAGGAAACAAGAGTCGGAATCATCAACAAGATACAATCAAGCTCGTTTTAATTGAAAAGCTCAGAAAAGAGCATTTACATGGAATGATAGGTAATGAGAGGTAATAAAGGAATACAGTGACATACCAATGACAGAATCTAGGGGTGACAGCATGAGTTTCGCTGTACATCTTTCTACTTGCTGTATATTCAAAATTTTTCATAATAAATTGAGGGGAGGACCTTGCTTTCTGCCTTATATCATTCTTACTAAAATTTCTCCTGTATCAAGCTCTTAACATCAGGAAAATTAAGAGTAAAGAACTAAGCCAGGCAGTGGTGGCACATGCCTTGAATCCCAGCCCTCAGGCATACACAGGTGGATCTCTTTGAGTTTGAGGCCAGCCTGGTCTACAAAGCTAGAGAAACCCGATCTTAAAAAACAAAAAACAAAAAAAAATTTTTTTCCCTTGGTGAGACAGGGTTTCTCTGTTTCTCCCTGACTGTCCTGGAACTCACTCTGTAGACCAGGCTGGCCTCAACCTGCCTCCCAAGTGGCAGGATTAACGGATTAACGGCAGGCGCCACCATAGCTGGTGAGAATTATTTTCAAACTGCCTCTAAAGATTGTCTTTTAAGGAGCTTTTCCATTTCTTTCCATTATTTGTGTGTGTGTGTGTGTGTGTGTGTGTGAGAGAGAGAGAGGGGGAGAGAGAGGGAGAGAGGGAGAGAGAGAGAGAGAGA